GAGCTCCTTTTAGGGACGCCACAGGAGTGCCGTGGTGCGGAGGCTCCGCTCTGCCGGCGCTCCGTCTGGCGGCGTCCTGGAAGCAGTCGTCTGCTTCCCCCCTGAGTCAGGGCAGTTAAAGTGGACTCAATTTGCACTATTTCTGGCAGTCTGCAAAGGCCCTCAGTTTCTCAGCCTCAGAGGATGCCAATGGCAAACTCCCTCTGAAAAAAATTGCCAAGAAAACTCCATGATAGGTTAGCTTTAGGGTTGCCATAAGTTGGAAATGACTTGAAGGCACATGACAACAACAAACATGTCTTTGCAAAAGACTCTGTTGAGATCATTGAGTTCTTGGAAAGCTTCTCTTCTTATTCTAAATGCTAATGGTACACTTCAGAAGTAAACATTTACAGAGGGTCCTTCTGCAGTTTACATAACAGATGTCCATGCCATAGGGTCAAATACTGATTCAGTCAAGAGATCACAGACCTAGTGACATTATCTTGACACTTCATGCGTGAGGATCTCCCATACATCATAATACTCAGCTGTTCTGTTCAGACTTGCCCATAACCCACATTCAGCTGGGAGCCAAGTGTTGCTGCAGCCTAATTGAGGCTGACTCAATGCAAAATTGCTTCAGGGATTGTGGAGCAGGGAGGACAGAACTGGCTCAAGCCAATCTGTGATTGCCATTACACATTTGTTGTTAGTTTCTTTAGAATTTGATGGTGCAAAAAGGTGGTACATGTGAATTTAATGTGATAAAACCATTTATGGCTAACCTCATGGTTCTGCACATCTTAGATCTTACTTCCCTTAACAACCACAGTGAAAGAGACCAGATCAGTATCATGCTGCAAACAGAGAGGGTGAAATCTGCCAAGGACCACTTTCTCCCGCATTCATTTTTGTTTTTAAAAAGCCATGTTATTTTTGTCCTGCATATGCAATTAGAAAATTTTGGTGCATTCTTCAAGAAATGTACCAAAATAAAATTCTCTCCCATTTGCAGTCTCTAAATTCTATAGGTCTAACTATTCTTAGCATAGAGAGGACCATAGAGAGGAGCCTTTCAGGAGGAAATAAAAAGGGATGCAATCCTACCTTATTTAGCATCAGTAAGGTGTGCATCCACACTGCTAAATTATAGCAGTTTGATACCACTTTAGCTGCACTGGACCCAGAATACTGGGATTTGTCATTTGGTGCAGGACATAGCTCTGACGCTGTAGTTGTGGGGAGTGTACTAAAGAATTTTAAGTAGCTCACCAAACTACAAATCCCAGGATTCCATAGACTGAAATCATGGCAGTTAAAATGTTATCAAACCACCTTAACTGGTTGAATGCACAGGAACCAAAGATTGATTTTTAAGAGTTATAGATTCAAAACCTGGGCCTAGATGGACAAAATGTCAAAATGAGCAATTTTTGGTCAGGTTTAATGTCTTATCCCAAATACCTAGACTGTATGAATATATTCATCTTTAAAATTCTGTTTAATTGTTTGACTAATAATTACTCATTATGTCTCATGTCTACTGATGATGATGTTTGTTGTCATCTCTGCCCACCACCTTTCCTCCTCCTTGGATTAGTTTCATAGGCAATCCAGTGCAACAAAGGATCATGCAGTGAGTGGAGTAATGTCATGAACCTTTGTAATCAATTGGATTTGGATGTACAGTGGCAAAACTGAGGACAAGTGAGAGCAAGTAAGATTAAGGACAAGTAAAGACAGTTTCTGAGGGCCTAAATAGTACCCCAAAGGTACCAGATCCCATCTGATCTCAGAAGCTGAGCAGGGTAAGTTCTAGTTAGTACTTGGGATGGGAGACCTCCAGTGAATACCAGGTGCTGTAAGCTATATTTCAGAGGAAGGAACTGGCAAA